CCTCTAGGCTGCGATCGGGGCCTGAGTGGGTGCGGGCGGGGGGGAAGCTGGCCTGGAGTGTGGGGGGGAGCCGGCGGACGGGGCCTGAAGGCCCTGTTCCCGGCCTGGAGTGGGCGCAGGGGGGGGAAAGAGGCCCCTTAGTGTATGGCCGGAAGAATTGCCACTCAGAACTGGCTGCGATGACTGGCTCCCTCCCCTCCCAGCCACCCAGCCAATGGCAGCCCAGGTTCGCTGAGGGAGCCAGTCATCGCAGCCAGCGTTTTCTGAGTGGCATTTTTTCCGCCCATACACTAACGGGGCGCATTTTAGAATTTTGGCACCCACTATTCAATTATAATAAGGGAGAGATTTCTCACCTTCACAAAATAATCTCAGTCAGAAGCAAAGTCTGGTGGTAAATACTGGTCAGCAATGTTCCCTCTAAGCAGTGGAGTTTTGTGAGCAAAAATTCTGCTTTGTGAGCTACTGACATTAAAGTTGTGAGCAAGCAATTTGGCTCCTGCATAAATTAGTTTGCTCTGGAGGCATTCTTCCTGAGCTAAGACAAAAATGTGTGAGCTGGAGGCTAAAAAACTTTGAGCTAGCTCACACTAACTCAGCTTAGAGGGAACACTGCAGTGGTCAGATCAGTTTTCTCCATACAATGGAAGGTAATCGTTCATTTTATGTGAGAGCTGGAGATATAAATATTTATAACTAAAATACTTAGCCAACTGCAGCTTCAGATAGTTCCTAGGCATTAAGTAAGTGGGAAAGGTCATCTAGATGGATTAGGGTTGCCAGGTCTGGGTCAGAAAATACCTGGAGACTTTGGGGGTGGATCCAGGAGAGGGAGGGGTTTGGGGAGGGGAGGGGCCTCAGCATGGTTACAATGCCATAGAGTCCACCCTTCAAAGCAGCTATTTTCTCCAGGGGTGCTGATCGCTGTTAGCTGGAGATCAGTTGTAAAAGCGGGAGATCTCCAGGTCCCATCTGGAGGCTGGCAACCCTAAGATGGATCAGTGGTAACATCTGGGGCAATCTGCCATTCCCTGAGCCCCCGACTCAAGCGATAAGGTAAGGAAATGAGCTACACTTTCACGCCCACTGAATAATTCGCTTTCAATGCACTTTTGCAATAATTTACAAATGGGTTTTTCTGTTTTGCACAGTAAAATCCAGTTGCAAAATGTACTGAAAGTGGATTGAAAGTGCATCAAAAGTGTGTGAAAACAGCTGATGACAATCAATGTAATCCTGAACAGTGTTATACCCTTCTAAGTCCATTCACTTCAGTGGACTTGGAATTCTATGACACAATTCTTTCTTCAAAGAAAAGCAGTTCAGAAGAGGGCCACAATTCAGTCTGAAGATCATACATTCATATTCAAGTTAAGATTTAAATCTAAACAATACTCTCTCAGAAACAGAAATTTACTATAGCTGGAATTTTTAAAATAAAAAAATGCATTGATTTTTATCCATGCTGCTCACAAATCCACAGAACCCCAGCCTTCTCCCTTCAGAATACAGCCATGGGGTGACAGAGAGCACACTAGAGGAGTTTTGTGATGCCCAGTATGAATACCAGAGTGGATTGCTAACAGGATTAATGTCCTGTATCTTCAGATCTGAGTATCACTCATGTTAGAAAGGTCCCAAGGTTCCTCACCTAGTAATTACTGAATAGACAAGCGTACCCTCCAGCAGTTAGCAACTCACACAAGCACACCATTGGAGAGCACAGCTGATCAGAAGGGGGAGAAAGAGATGTAAGCCATCTGTTTCCACAGGGAAGCTTGTAGACATGAGCCTTAAATGTCAAACTGTATACATTTGACTACTCAGAAAACACAGGTGTTTACATTTTAGCATCACAGATCTGTACACTGTCCATCACACCAATCTACTAGCTTCAAAATATCATCTTCTGCATTTCAACACTCAGGACGCATACAGTAAAGTAAAACCCGACACCAAAGCAAGAAGAACTGGCCTGTTAGCAGCTATAAAGGTCATCTTTGTTGGATATGCTCCAGTATTTGAAGTTACTCACACCAGCCATTTACACAGAGTGAGAAAAGCCATTTAAAAGGTGCAGGGAATTGAGTGAACAGAAAGATGATCTGATTTGACTCTGCCCCCCCAAAAATCCATCAAACTATGAGGAAAAACTTTCATTACCAGCAGGACATCAGAATAACACTAATGAAAACAGAATTATAATGAAAACAGAATTAATACTAATGCATATAAACATACTCCTGCCAGCCTAGCAGTTCGAAAGCAAGAAATTGCAAGTAGATAAATAGGTACCACTTCGGTGGGAAGGTAACAGCGTTCCGTGCGCCTTGGTGTTTAGTCATGCCGGCCACATGACCACGGAAACGTCTTTGGACAGCGCTGGCTCTTCGGCTTTGA